TTTTTTGAATTTTTGTAAAATTTTAGATATTTTTCTATTAAAATATTTCTTATCTGATTTACCTCTTAAACTTTCAACTTAGTCCAATTTACCTCCTCAGGTGTGGCGCCGCATCAGGAAAACGACCATCAAAACAACCATCAAAACCATTAGGGTGTAGAAGTGAACATTTTTCAAAAGTTGAGAGATGTTAAAAAAACTAGTTTTGTAGATTTGCAGGAAAACCAGACAACCACAATAGTTAAGAGGTAAATTAGAATTTTTTATGCAAAAACAAGATGACGAGCGGATAACATATGGGGCCGCAATATACATCTTCCGTTGTTGCCCGTGACCCGTGACCGTAATCCCAGTTGGTACGCTCCAATATGCGAAGTCACCCTTTGATCTGCTGGCAATGGTGGAGATTGCCTGACTGCACTCGGCAGTCGGAGAGGGCGAAGTCAGAGGATCTCGTTCCAATGTAGATGCCAAAGACAAGGCACTGGACCAGATGGTTTTATAGGGTGTATTTAGTCGGGTGGCTTAGTCCCCAACCAGGCTTGCTGGATGCACTCAGCTGATGTTTGGTTGCCTGTTCGGCCCCTTAGCCAGGCTTAACTAGTGCAGGAGATTCCCTTAGCCAGGCTTCCTGGAAATATAGGGAACGGTCGTTCTCCCCTAGCCAGGCTAGCGGAAGCAGCAGGTCTGAATCGCGTCACCTCCCCTTCGCCAACTCGTGCTGCTCCCCGACGCCGCCGGTACGGCCACGCGGGCTCGCGCCGCCCTCCGCTGCCGCCGACGTGGGCTCGCGGCTCTCCCTGCCATCACCTCCCCGTCTCTCTCTGGACCCGCTTCCATCCCCTTCAACCTCGCGCGTCCGGCGGAGGAATCGCACGGCCGCGAGCTTGTGTGGCGCGTCCGGCGGAGGAATCGTGCAGCCGCGGGCTTGTGCGGCGCGTCCGGCGGAGGAATCGTGCGGCCACGGGCTCCTTCACGGCGAATCGGCGACGGCTGCACGCCTCCTTCCGTCCCCTTCCTCCTCGCGCGACCAGGGAACCTCGAGCGGGAGCCATGGCCGGGGGTCCTCGAGCGGGACCCAATCCCCCCAAATCCTCCACCTCCGACGCACGCTCCGGCAGGAGGCGCTCTACTTCCACGACACCTTCGCCATGAGCGAGGAAGTGCGACCGCGAGCTCTTGCGGCAAGGCGAATCGAAGGAGGTCGCCGCGAATCTGGTGAATCTGGCTGTGCGATGTGAGCTCGTGCGGGATCTCCATACGAGTCACCGATGGCCGCATCTGGTTGTCCTCCTTCGCTGCGAATCGGCGGTAGCCGCATCTGGTCATCGTCCTCCTCCACGCGAGATGAACAGAGAGGATGAAGTGACGGAGGTAAGCTCACCGGTATGGAGAAGAGGTAGCAATACCAACTAAGAGCAACCAGCTAAGTAGTTCATATGGTTAGCTTTTGTATCAGTAAATTATAGCTATTGTTGTCTCCATAATATTTTAGTTAACCAATAGTCTATAAGATGGGTCACATATGAGATAAAAAATTCTCCATTTATGAGATAAAAAAATTCTCTCTTTACAATTCTATGCAAAATCAAGAAAGAGAGAGGGAGGAGTGAGAAAAAGTAATATTTTTTATTTCTTATAGATAGTCCATAAGCTTATAGGTACCTTTTGCTATGAACTATCCTATAAATTAGCCTCACAATATTCCAGCTATCTAATAGCAAATATTTTAATCCTATGGACTACCTTATGGCAAACATTACGATTGCTCTAAGCTAGCTAACCAAACGAAAACTAACTTAGCCAGCTAGACTAGCACATGACAACCAAATACTCCTATAGCACTTGACTTGACTTGGACAGATTAACTTAAGCCTGGCTTAGGCTGTGTTTAGTTCGTGAATTTTGAGAATTTAGTTACAGTAGCACTTTCGTTTTTATTTGGCAATTAGTGTTCAATCATGAACTAATTAGGCTCAAAACGTTCGTCTCGTAATTTCCAACCAAACTGTGTAATTAGTTTTTTTTATCTACATTTAATGTTCCATGCACATATCGCAAGATTCGATGTTTTTGAGAAACTTTTTGAACTAAACAGGCTCTTATTTTCCTGGTAATATATCAAGTGCAAACCAACCTCTCCGTGCAAATCGTGCAAACCAACTGTGGGAGAAAGGTGGGAGGGGGGATTTGCAAAAGTGTAATTAGGAGCGTGCGTAATTACACTTTTGTAAATTCCCCCTCCCACCTCTCTTCCGCAGTTGATTTGCACGATTTACACGAAAAGATTGGTTTGCACTAGATATGTTCCCTATTTTCATAGCCAGACTGGCCAGAGAAATGCAACCAAACACAAACACACCCGCCTTCTTTGCGGGAGTGATACGCGTCGACCGGTGGTGGCATGCAGCCATGCGCGGATCAGTCTATTCTTTTTTTTTTAATTTGGACCAGTCTATTCTATCCTCCGTAAGCTTGTAGTTAAAAAGTCAGGATCTTTGGCCGTGTGCTAGGCCTCATACTTCTCTAGTTATCCTGCTACCACCGAACCAAACAAGAGAAATCAAGATTGCTGACATCATCATCTAGTGAATCATTTTGAAAGTTAAAAAACAGTAGCGACTAAACCGATTATCTAAATTAAATTCCAACTGCACCATCATGTTTCTTATAATAAATTCTTCAAAAACAAGACCCTACATGGATATATTTAAATATTTTTTATTAAAGAATATTCATATCATGAGGATAGAATTTTTTTTAGTAAAGACGATGTTCTAGGTTGCTTAAACAATACTTTGTCTTCACAAGATAAATGTTATAGGTTCAGAAGAAAAATATTATCGATTTTGAAAATAAAATATCAGATAAAATATATCATAAAACATCTCATGGTACTCAAAGATAATAATGAAATATGTCATCTATATCTATATCTCTTATAAACCTAATCCCCACTACAAGTCTATATCAACATGCAAGACATCCACGTCGTCCCCACTAACTATCCACATCATCTCCACTAATATCCATGTCATCTCACTAACTTTTAACATCTTAATGCAAGCTATCTACATCATCAGGCATTTAGAACCCGGTATCCAAGCCTATACAATGTTGTGCGCAAAAAGCACGCAATGGTGGCTGAGGTTCTGCAATCTGTTCCTCTAAATGTGTCTTTGAGAAGGGCATTGGTGGGGATAAATTTAATAGAATGGCATAGCTTAGTTACTAGTATAATGCATGTCACACTAAACAAAATGCTAGATAGGTTTGTTTGGGGTTCACATAAAAATGGATCATTTTCTGTGAATTCTATTAATAAGCTCCTTATCAGTAATTGTATGAAAGTCAGGCAGGAGATATGCAAAATGAAAATACCCTTAAAAACAAAATATTCATGTGGTTCCTCAAAAAAGGATTGCTTTAACAAAAAAATATTCTAGCAGGAAGGAATTCAAATGGTAGTAAACTTTGTTGTTTCTGTAATAAGCTTGAAACCATACAAACATCTTTTCTTCGATTGTCATTATGCTCGTTTTCTCTGGCATGCGGTTTATTGGGTGTTTGGTATTGCCCCGCCAACAAGCGTGTCCCACTTGCTTGGAGGTTGGTCAAAATGGGGCAGCGCAAGCACAACTTGCTTTTATTTACAGGAGCATCGGGCTTATGTTGGGCAATTTGGCTCGCAAGAAATAATTTCATTTTTAACAAATGTCAAAACAAATTTTTTGTACAGGTACTTTTCCAGGGGATATTGGTTCCGATTCTAGACTCAAGGATAGCGCTTGGATGAGCACAAAACATCTATTGTGGAGGCATGCAAGCTTTTCGAGTCTAGTGCCATGTTTTTGTTTGCTTCTCATGTCTGGTTCATTTATCATGTTGGACATTAGGAGTGGTTCTCTGGTTTTTGCTTTAGTGTGAGTTTGTAATAATGGGTCCGATTCTTCCTCCTAGAGGGATGATGAAGTGGAACTTTTGTTTCCATTATCTAAAAAATCTGCATCATCTCCACTTAATCCAATTTCAAATTCTTTGTAGTCCCCACAGCAACACCCCCTGCTACACATCTATCTGTCTATCTCAACATGCAAGGCATCCATGTCATCCCAACGAACTATCCACATCATCTCCATTAATATCTATATCATCCCACTGACTTTCAATGTCTTAATACAACATATCTACATCATCTCCACTTAATCCCATTGCAAGGGATGATACAAAGAACGAGGATCCTTGAATTGAGTTAAAACGGATTGTGAGCCTTTGATTTTAATGTTATTGTATTCGTAGGTACAAAGTGTGGTATACAAAGGTTGAACTATCTCACAATTGGTGGTGTACCTAACTTTCTTTTGGTTGTTCCTTTATAGTGTATATATATAGAAGATAATAGATAACCTAGACGCCAAGGATCATAGCCACCGACCCTAGGATTCATTTTTGCAATTCTTTTCCCAATGGTTCACATATAACTTTATACTATTAGAAAAAAAAGACTAAATTGCAAAAAGAAACAGTTTGGGACCTGGTTATATTGCGGGCGGATTGCGTGGCCCGCGCGGACCGGGAGTTTTGACGGACACCAACCTGCTCCCGGCAGACAGACGCTGGCCTGTGCGCTCGGACGACTGTAAGCGGCTGAGGTGTTATCACAATCACTCAATACTCGAAATAGTCAAGTTACATATATGTATATTATTATTACAAGTGTTCGTCATACAATCGGTATCTTTTTCTACGAAGATGGCATGATAACTCGTGTTACCTGAACACACAGAGTCTCACAGACCCACAATATACATAAGGGTTCCCACACACACAAGTTCAATAATATGGCACGCCACGAGTAATGCCAGCACATGCCTCATGCCGAGGAGAGGCAAGGGGAGTCTCTCTCTCCCTGTACTGCCTGCTTCCCTCCGGCAATCAGTGGGACGTCCCAGCGTACTCTCAGGTGCCGAACCCATAGACAAAGACAACTGCTCATCTGCTTAGAGCCGAGAGATGAGCAGCGGGACAGAGACAGGGCTTTCTTCGCCCATGGCAGGGTGGCACATCTCCAGCATGTCCAGCTCCCTGAACCGCTCCAGAACCCGCATCTTGCACTCCTCGGCTGCCATGACACCAGTGGAGAAGGCCCCGTGCACCGTGCCGGTGTACTTGAGACTCGTGGCCTCTCCCGCGAAGAAGAGGTTGTCCACGGGGATGCGCAGCTTCTCGTAGAGGTCACGGGGTTTGCTCACCCCATCGAACGTGTAGGAACCAAGTGAGTTCTCATCCGAGCCCCAGTGTGACACCAGGTAATTTATCTGCAACAATAAATTTTGGCCACCATAGGCTGTAAGCAAAGAAATGCTCTATAGCAGGATTCTTTTATTACTGTAGTTGAAGGTATTGTCAACAAACTAACCGGTTCAGCTGCATTGGGAAGGATCTTCTTCAACTGAGAAAAGGCAAACTGGGCAGCAGCCTCATCAGACATCTTCTCGATGTCACGAGCAAGGCGGCCAGCAGGCATGTAAACAAGGACAGGGTGGCCTGTTGCCTTATGAAGGTTGAGGAAATAGCTGCATCCATATGTGCTAGAGGAAACAACGCCAAGGAACTCCACGTTAGGCCAGAAAACCTGGCTGAAGTGAAGAACAATTTTGTTCTCAACTCCAACTGTAAGCTCTCTAATTGCTTCTTCTTTCCACTCTGGCAGCCTCGGCTCAAATTTAATGGTTTTTGCTTTCAGGACACCCAACGGAACAGCGACCACTGCAGCATCTGCAACAAATGTTTTGCCACTGCTTACAGTAACCTCTACCCTGTTCCTGTGGCGAACAATTTCCACAACCCTGAAGAACAAAGAAAATAAAAAGGATCAGTACTGAATGAATGGCTGATGAAAGCGAAACTACAACTATTGATTACCCAATTAATAAGAAAAGGATAGATATGCATACTTATGGTCGAGGCGTATATCTAAGCCTTTTGCAAGAGTATTTATAACCGGACGATATCCACGAACCATGAGGCCATGGCCACCTGGAAGCAGCACCTCCTGCATCCCATCCACATCATCATGCATAAGGCACAGTATTTTCATAATGCGCAAGTATACCGGCCAGCTACTAAGCAAAAAACATACCTGATCCCAGCCCTGTAGTGAAATTGAATCTGCGTCGGTGGCAAACCAACCCTCCATACGGCACAAATACCACTGAAGAACTTCATGAGCAATCCCTTCTTGCCTGTAGTGAACACATGGAAAACCCAGTTAAAATGACTGGTTTGTTTGTGCTAACCAGTGCACAAAGGCAGAAAGTAGATTAGTACAAACCTCAAGTGTGGATTTCTATCCATGACAATTGCAATGGCTTTTGCAATAGACATATCTTCATTGGTTTCTTCCCTCAATTTGCCAGTCTGCGCACATAAGTATTATGAATAAATCAAATAATGGAAACTACCTAAAATCAACAGGCACCGACACACCACTAATTGAAAGGAGGGAATTACCTCTTCCAGTATGGTCTCAAACACCTTCCCAATCTTTTCTACCAACTCTTGTGGTACTTGATGTCCATTAGTGTCATAGAGTGCATAACTGGAAGGCAATAGAACAAGTTAGCTCCCATCATCTCTCAAAGTACAATTCAGTCTAATGCAAAATTTTACCTCTCCAGATCATGATCAAACAGCACAGAATCATCTCCACTTGTGCGGTACAGTGGAAGCCCAAGCCTTCCAATTATTGGTGCCAAGGGATTTTCTTCACAGACACCATGAAGCCTGATGATGAATAAAAATGATGAAAAAAAATATTTCATGACATTCCTTCAAGATAAACTACTTTTGGGCACATGGTGAAAGTTAAAAAGAATGGAACTCACCAAGATGCTCCCAAATCAACTGGAAACCCAAAAGAATAGTCAGTGTGAACTCTGCCACCAATCCTATCGCGGGATTCCAGAAGAATAACCTGGAATGTGCCACAACAATTGAAATGCATCACAAAAGAGTCTTCTCATCTTCGTCAAAGAAATACAGGTCGTAACATTGCACCACCAACACGTGAACATGACAAAAAAATAGCACTGAAAATTACCTGGAATGACGCATTTCTGAGCGCATCAGCAGCAGCAAGACCTGCAAACCCACCACCAATAACAATAGCTGATGGTGTGTGTGGCTTTCTCCTAGCATTTTCACCGTATGAGCCTGACATGACGACAAAATGCATTTTATCTCAGTACATGTAACACAGGAAATAAAACGTTTAAGTACAAAATGTGTTCAGAAGAACAAGTTTAGTTGTATTGACCATATTGAGAAGGAAAGGTAAGTTTCAAAGGCATTTCTAATCAAATTTATTATTCCAGCAGTATCACAATTTGGACACAGAGATAAGGAGGAAATAAAGGTGGATGGTTCCTGCTTTTTTAACTATATCCATAAAAGAAACCTCCTGAAACATTCTCATGTCCGTTACTGCTATAGTGTTTGGATGACATACAAAACCTGTTCAAATTTAATCTTCTGCAAATTTTGATGCAATTGTGTGGTTGCTAATCTGGAGGGGTTTAGCATAAGACTGATATTTTGCTCCCAAGAGCGGAGTACCTCCAAATGATAAAAGACCAGTTCATACAGAAGTAACATAAAGAAGCCTACCAAGTTGTGAAAATGCCGATATCGCCTGTTCTTCTCACATCAACCCTCCTCTACCTCCCTCCACCATGGAGGGTTAGTAGTGAGGCATGTTCCCCTGTCTCAGAACAATGATGGTGAGGTAAGACAGGACAGTTTAAGATTTTCCATTATCCTCTCAACAACTAAATTTGGGCCTGTGTAGTGTTCTTGGTCCGTTTTAATTGCCGATGCTCTGGCACAAGACAGATCACTCTTGACTCCTTCAACAATTTTATAGCATAAACATTAAGGGGTTTTCAGAAGATCGCAAGGGTGGGAACAACATTTTATTTATCTTTTTCTAAGGGGCAGAGCATGGACATGACACAAGGTCATTAGTGATTGGTACACTCTTTTGTAGATTATGTTTGGACAAGATGGGCACCAAACTATAAGGAATGTCTCGTGGCCAATGTTTGCCTTGGTTCCACTGGTACTCTGTAGGATCCTGGAAGAAACCTCTTTAGCAAAGCCCTCTACCAGATATGCTTCAGAACACTAAAAAAAGAAACCCAACTTCATTGGTCGCCAAGCATCTGTCGCCTAATGCTAGCAGGCACAATGAGACACACTAAGACCCAAATACCCATGAATGTGTGACAATGACAAAAGCAAAAGCATTATATACCGAGAACGTAACAAATACATGCAAATTGCAGCATTGGTATATAGTGAACGAGTAGACAGGTACATCCACTAGCCAATATTATGATACATTTGTCTACCCATGTTCGTGAGCATGACAACGATGTGGATCGCACATGCATGGAATGAAGCACTTAACACGAACATAGCACTTGACAGCATTTACTTTTCGGTAGTCAGGTCTTGTAGAAATCAGTATATGTTAATTTTTCCTCGTCGTGCTACAGTGGCGGGCTTGTGAGAATATCAGTGAACGAAGGTCCCCAGTACTAATAAAATGAGGCACAGGAGTCCACAAATCCACATGGGGTCAAATCCGAGAAGCTTCCAAGTGGTCGGTCCCCTCTTGCGTGAGATGTTGTATAAAGTGTGAAGTGTAAACAGCTACTTTAAGAGTTGTAGTCTAGTTTTCTTTTTTTCCTTCCTTCCACCGACAAATGCATATGGGACTTCATGGTTCATGGCCCATTCATCGAGCCCATGCGTGCCTCCCAACAACCATAAGAAACCCAAAGTTTAAGTTGGAAAAAATCAATTTTGCCACTAAGTGGTGTCAGATCCACCAAATAATACCTAATCAACAACCCAATAACGTATCATGTGAGAAAACAAATACTAGAGGATCCCAAGTCATCCAATCGATTCTTCTACACCTGAGTAGCTTTAACAATTCACATCGATTTAAGATATGTTTTCAAATTGGAACAAAATCCGATCTGCCAACTATAAGGCCGAAACTGAAAGAGCTCACGGAGAATAAGCAGGACTTACTGTTGTTCGCCATCTGTGCAGCTCTGTTCTTCTTCTCCTTCACAATTACTACTTGAATTTGAATTTGAATTGGATGGATTTAACAGCTGGGGGGAGAAATGCAGCAGGAAGATGAGGAGGCAGGCGACGTAGTGGTTCGAGTTCGAGTTGAGTCCCAGGTTCACGAAACAGTTCATACAGCCGTGCTGCCGAATCGCCGCAGCCCTCTAAGGAATTCACGGTCCCCTTCGCGATCTCACACAACCTTCCAGTGTCCCCCCGATCCCATCAACTTCTTACCCAATTCGACTGCGGGGTAGAGGAAAACTCCGGCGGGGCAAGCAACACTGCAGAATCAGGGAAATCAAACTATTAATTCGTCACACAAAAAATAATTGATATTTCCGTCTGTACTGCGACAGAAATCGGAGGATTTGCGGCACTACGGGAGGGGGAATAGCCACAAGTTCGCTCCTCTGACGCAATCTGGCCAGAGATGATAATAATTCCAAAAATCGCCAGGCAACCGGGGGAAACCGACACGGAATCCCACCCCGCAAGCCAAGCAATCCAGGGAGGCAGAGTCAAAAAATAAAGAGCCCGTCCTTTCAGGTCTCCCCGCAAACCAGGCTGAAATCACGCGAATTCATTCATGGAAGAAAAAAAGCATGAACCCCACCTCAAAAACTTGGCCGGGGCCGAAGAACTGGAGATTTTCCTTGGCACAGGAAGTCGGGAAGGATCCCTGTGGGTGCGTCGAGGGAGGAGTCGCCCTCCGGCCTGCTGCTGTCTCCTGCCGTTTGGGGGAGCTTTGCGCGTTGCGTTGGTGAATGGTGATGGTCAGGGGCGGTGTGGTGCGGCGATTGGGTGGAATTTATAGCTTCGTTGGACGGCGAGGAGGGTACCGTGCACCACCAGGTCACCTTACCCGCCAGCCGGGGTGTCAGAGCCGCGCCGACCCCACCAAACGCGTGGTTTCGTGAGCGTTTGATCGCGTTTGGACGGCGCTGATGCGCGATGTAGCTGGACGAGTGTCGCTGACCACATGTCAGTAGTGAGGCGATATTTTTTTCTCTCCCTCTTCCCAACAATTGCTCTGATCGTTTTGGTTGATAAGTCATGACTGAAAGTACTGTTAGCTGATTTGTAGTGAGAGAAAAATATTGTTCGTTGGTTGAAAAAGTACGGCTTATAAGCAAGTGAACAGGACGAATATCCATTCTGCCAAATAGAGTATATGGGCCTGTTCGTTTGTCTGAATTTTGGAGGAATCTGGATGGTTTGAAGGAATGCTGGAGGAATTTATGAGAGAAAAATACTATTTTGGATGAAAAAATAAGTGGATCAAGCCGAATTTAAGGACACACGAACGGGGCTTATATGTATAAAAAAAAAAGAAGCATACTAGTTTCTAGAAGGATGCATGATTCGTGCGTACTACATTATTTTCTCGTGGATGATTTATAATCCTTTGATTATTGTTGTTGATAATGTATATAAAGAGCTCGGGGGCCATTTGCAGCATCCTTAGAGCAGCTTCTTCGTGGTGATCATTCCTGCTCAATTAAGTAGAAAAATTAACACAGATTATGCTAAGGATTAGACACAAATAAAGAATTCTTTATTAACACTGGATTGAGCTGGGAGCTAAAAAAAATGACTCCTCACTATTTTCTATTTAATCCTCACCAGAATCATTTCCTACCGCTCCACATTCTACTCCCCCACTAGATCACACCATCAAAGAATTAGCGAGCTAAAGCGAAGAATCTAAGGGTAGAGCTCTAACATAATAAAGGCCCTAAGAGGCTAACAGTATGCTTTGAGATTGAGATTGGGTCGGACAAGGATTTAGAAAGCCCCGTGAAAATTCTTGAGCCCAATCTTGACAATTTGGGGAGTTTGTGAATGTGCGTATGTGTGTATGCATGTTTGTGTCAGTACTAGATTTTGAAGAAAAGATGGTAGAGGCTGGAACTTTGTTCCATTAAAAAAAAGATTTAATTTTTTTTTGATATGAGGTAAGCGTTTATGCTTGTATGATGTATATGTGATGGTGCTTGAGGAGGCACCGAGGCAGAAGCTGTCTACTAGCTAGGAAATACATCCAAGAGGGACGATGTGGACACAAAGCTAGCTCTCAATTGTAGGTTAGGCGAAATAATCTTCTAGGAGTACAAATAAACATAGGGAATGAGCTGGTGCCACTTGTCGTCTCATCGGAGGTTTATAGTATATTGTTATTTTTTTTTAGAAAGGACGATAAAAGTTTTACCGTAATTTTTATTAAATGAAGAAAAAGAAAAACAAGATTATTTACAAAAACGACTCACAGCCCCGAACAACGACTTGGGCAACTAGAAACCGCTACGAAGAACAAAGGAGGAAAACAGAACCAAAAGGGGCGTGCAGCGTCCGAGAACAAAAAAGACAACTGAACTGAAAACTGAAAACACAAGAAGCAATCCCCAGAACGCCTATTGATATTGTTATTTTTCCTAGTCTACTAAGTTTGGCTTCTTCTTTTATCAATAATACATATATATTATTTTCTATTGTTTCAATCAATCAAAAAAAAAATACATAACGCTCCATTGAGCCATGCGCCCTGCAGCGAAAGGGAGTCGTTTTCAGGGTCTATCGTAGCGATTAGCGAAGGCGATGGCATTCTTTGCACGTTTGTCGTGCACGGTGGCCGCGCAAGGCTAGGGAACGCGTCCGTCCACTCACGTCGTGCTCGCTAGTCGATCGTTATTACTACTGCCCTGCCGGCCGGAGACGAGGGGCGCGCGGGATTAACACCACGAAAACGACGGCGAAAGATCGAAACCCGGCCGTGTGGTATCGTCTCGGCCACCTGGACGCTACCGTTCATCACTCTCGGCGCAGGGGTCCATCGGCACGAGCACGAGGGAGTTGTGCTGCGAAAGATCTTTTTTCTTCCTTCCTTCCTTCATTCGTATATTTTTCCGACGAGAGCCATGCATGCACGGATCGTATCGTAACAATAAAAAACGATGGCGAAAGAAGCTTGTGTGTGCAGGAGCACATAGCAGTCTGCTGATTTTGTGAGAGTACGTCGTATGTGCGTGTGGGCCTATTTGTAGGTAGGGTTGTTGCGCGTATTCTTAGTCGAATATATATAGACGACATATATGGTCATGTTCGCTTCTCTTATCATCTATGTTTTTTAACTTGTTTTTTAGCCGGAACAGTGTTTTTTCTCTCACAACAAATTAGCCCGAACAGTATTTCGGCTTGCTTTTCAGCGAAGTGAACGGGGCCATAAATACAGTACCGTTTATCCGAACAAACACTGAAATAGATAACACAGTATCTAAATTAATTATCCATGTATGTATATGTACTATGCTCTATATAACGCATGGGTTTGATATCTTAGACCTCCTTTGGAACATAGGAATTTTTCCTATTTTCTGTTTTTTTTTGTGAAAATAAATTGATTTATGTAAAAACTCTTTACAAATCCTATAAAATTCCTGCGTTTCAAAGCGACCCTTGCTATTTAATTAGCGGATTCGCCGTCATTTTCCGGGGTCAATTAATTTGAGCCCTTATATATTCGTCTCCTTCCTACCACAGGGGACGGAGGGACGTGCAACATTGTTGACGCGTTGGCGCTTTTGGGGCGGGCAGGTAAAACATGCCAATCAGTAACAACGGCGAGACAGTGAAATGAAAAGAACGTGTACTCGGCTGCTTCCCGGGTGCTGACACGCCAGTAGGTAGACTGTAGGAGTAGGCTACATGACATATATGCACCACGTGACCAAAACGCTGGGGAAAACAACGGATAGGATCAAGCGTAAAAACTAGTAAAAAGTCCATTTTTTTACCCTCCAGCTATTCTTGTAGTTTTGTTCTAGTCCTCTGACTTAAAAACCAGACACGCGCAGTCTCTTAACTCTCAAAATCAGTTAAAATTGGTCCTCACGCCCATTCGACCGTGGTTTCCGCACAGTAAACCCGTCACGACCCCGCCTGTCAGGCCTTTCCCTTTCACCACCAGGTTGGGACCACCTGTCATCCCCCTCCCTCTCGTCGCGGGCCCCGCCTGTCAAGCCTTTCCCCAACCTCCCACCCTGTACGGCTGCGCGCTCGCGCGTGCGGGTGCGTGCGACGGGGAGTGGCGCAGGGGCGCCCGTGGCCTACCTCGGCAGTGCCCGGAGACGGGGGTCGCCGGAGCTTCCGGTAGCGGTGCAAGCGGCGTCGCCATGGGCGGAATTGGGGAGAGCTCAGCGGCTCGCCGTGAGCTGCGCGGGGTCCGTGGCCGATGCCATAACCAGTTAACCACCGAGGAAGAGGCAGCGCGGGTCGACGGAGGAGTAGCGGCGCGCGTTCGCTGCAAACGCAGGGCCAGCGTTTGCGAGTGGCAATGGCGAGTGGCGCTCACCTTCCTCACCGCCGGCCTGGTCCCCACTCGCTCGCTTATCTACGCCGCCTCATCGCAGAGCCGCAAGCAGCACGGCCGCGTCGCGTGTGCCCGTGGCCAGCCTGCTCTAGGCTCCCTCCGGCCGAGAAGAGGCCAGCCTCGGGGACGCTGAGGCCAAGCACAGCTTGTCGGCTCTCAACACGAGCGTCGCGCGAGCCGTGCTGCTCACAGGCAGGGCAGCCACCGACGTGGATAGCCGGCCATGGGTCACCTCCGGCCAAGCTACGGCCACCCCCGATTGCGTCTGGGCTAGCCGCGCCCACGCCGGGGAGCAGCCGCACTGGGACCATGTCGCAGCCCCGCCGGTGGCCGACGGTACCTCACGCTACCATGGCTGGGGGCCTGGGCCGCCGCGTTGCCGCCCTGCAGCCAGTCACCCTGCCGACGACGACCCGGACCCGGTCGCTCCGTTCGGCACCAGCTCGGCCGAGCTCCCCTACGACGCGACTTGTGCTTCCTTGTCTCCATCCTCCCTTCCCTTTCTATGCCAAGCCAGCACAGCCGAGCAACTCGCCGCCGTAGCCATTGCCGCGGACGGTCACCACCGCACCACCTCCACCAGTTCTCCGACCAAACATATCACACGATGAGCATCCCCATCCCTCCACGACTCTCTCCGGTTCCATGCCCAACTCGCCGAGCAGGCTGCAGCGCACGCTCGGCACCCCTTCCCTCCCAGCTCGCACGCACAGCGAAGCAAGCAGCAGCCGGGCGTGCTCTGCTTTGCTCTTGTTAGCTTGATGATGTCACTCTAACGTCATGCACACTTTATGGCAGCAGGCGAGCTCTGCTCGGTCAAACAGAGAAGGATGCGGCGGCGGCGCTGAGCTCTCCCTAATCCCGCCCATGGCGACGCCGCTTGCGCCGCTGCCGAAAGCTCCGGCGACCCCCGTCTCCGGGCACTGCCGAGGCAGGGCACGGGCGCCCCTGCGCCACTCCCCGGCTCACGCACCCGCAAGCGCGAGCGCGTAGCCGTACAGGGCGGGAGGTTGGGGAAAGGCCTGACAGGCGGGGCCCGCGACGAGAGGGAGGGGATGACAGGTGGTCCCAACCTGGCGGTGAGAGGGAAAGGCCTGACAGGCGGGGGCGTGGCGGGTTTACAGTGCGGAAACCGCGGTCGAATGGGCGCGAGGGCCAATTTTAACCGGTTTTGAGAGTTAAGGAACTACGCGTATCTGGTTTTCGAGTTAGAGGGCTAGAACAAAACTGCAGCCATAGTTGGAGGGCCAAAAATGGACTTTTTCCTAAAAAATACTGTAGCACACAAACATATCATGTCATATATGACACTGCTAGCCGTTGCCCACGCACGCAGAAGCAAGTGCACCCGCACACTTTTTCTCTCTCCCTTATCTTCTCCCCGTGTCTCGCCCAACCCCGTGGCTCTCCCGACACTGGCATCGCCTTCAACGCCTCTGTCGTCGCCTTCCCCGCTCCCTCCTTACCACGGCCGGCTCCGGTGAGTGCCCCCGCTTCCACCACCTCCCATCTTCCCGCCGCCGGCGGTAGGGCCCGCAACCATGGAGCTCCGGCGAGACCCTACCGCCAGCGGCGACCACCTTCTTCCCATCCCCCTCCCCTGCCCCCTCCCGCATGCGACATCGACGAACTCCGGTGAACTTCGGCCATGGCGCCCCCGCCTGGACCTGGCCCGGCCACCGCTGCCGCCGCCAGCTCCCCTAAACCGCCCATCGACCATCCCCACCGCCTACCTTCCTCCCCCGGCCGGCCATTCTATAACCCACCGGAGTTGGCTTCTTCTCCGTCTCCAGTGACCTCCTCCTCGCTGGAACCCTAGGCGGCGACATCTTCATCTCCGGCGCACTGATGGACGATGACGGGTGATGGACGACGACGACGGGCGCGGGTGAGGCAGAAGCAGCGACGGGCATGGCGTGGCCTCCAATGGCACGGGCGTGGGTGCTGGGCGTGGCCAGGGCATCAGAGTGCGCATCGGATGGCAGGCAGTGTGCGCACGCCTGCATCGGACGACAGGGAGTGTGCACGCGCCCGGACGGCGACTTCCTGCGCGCTCGGAAAATAGTATTTCTGATATTTATAATATAAGCGTGTGCGTGATTTAATTTTTAACAGGATGGAATGGAATTGATTCTGGCTCTAGAAAGGGAGTGGGCGGTGGAATAATTTGAGACCACCAGCTCTGATATATACTGCAGGATCGGACTTGACTTTCACGTGTGAGATAGCAAGGGTGGGGTCACGTCTCTGTTGCCCAAGGAAAAAGGTGAGTGCCAACTACTGCCACGTCTGAAACAAAAACAGGAAGGGATAAAAAAAGAGGTGCTAGCAATGCATGATTGCATTTCGTGACATGATGATGGTTGGATATGTGAAGCTCGTGCTTACTACTGGTTACGCGTTTGTTGCGAGGTGGCACGTACGTACTCGATCAGGTCCTTCTTTCAGCTTCCGCAAAGCGGGATCCTAAAGAGCCATGTTCATATGTGAGCAAATATGTATACTCGGATCTCATGTTGGAATGTGCGCAAATATATGGCTCCTCGCTTCTGCATTGCACGTGGAGAACGAGATAGCGTCACATGGCGGCAGTGCCACTGCTGCAGGCGCCCGGCCCGTATGCATGTGCCGGCGGGGGCCCGCCCCGGGCGGCCCTGCTGCACGCTACGTGTTGCCCGGTTGGGTCTTGGGTGAATGCAGCGGCCGGCGTGGTGGCCTGGTGCTGGTGGGCTGGCTGGCTGGTACCGACGTTGTCCGTCGCGGCAACCGACGTACGGGAACAAGACGTCCGGCCAACCTCTTTGTTCGCTCATGCATGTGCAGCCGCCTGGTGCACGCGCCAACAGTGCGCTGTGCACCACAGTTCGCCTCACGTGAGTAGGGTAGCCGGCTACCCGCCCGGCCGGCCAGTAGCGAGACTCGCCATCCTCACTCTCACAGTCACAGAGGATCGGAATCACTCGGAGATAGTGCGCTGTGCGCCCCGTCGAAACGCGTGGCCGATGCTGCCACCAGACCCCGTGATCGATCGGTGCGCGTCGTACCGCGTACGAACGGTGCGGGCATGCGGGGTCCGCCCGGGGAACTCATGCGCTCCCGCAGTCTGCTTCGTCGTGCCGTAGTACATACACGCGGAACACGCCCTTGCTTGCTGTCCTGGAGCTCCGGCTGGACGATGCCACACCATGCTCGGCATTTCTTCTTATCAAAGCAGGGAGGTTTGGCCGCTCCTCAGGGTGGCCACGGTAGCAAACTTAGTTTGGCCCGTCCGATCTTTGCGTTCGCTGCTGATGCTCGTCCCAACAACTGTGCCGCCGCCGCCGCCCCTGTTGGGCTGCTTTCGGTCTTTCTAGTTGCCCTCCCACTGCGACGCCGCCTTCGCCCCTCCACTCTCCATCTCCCTTTCCGCGGCTCCGCCCTCCTCGCCCGCTCCCTGTTCTCCGCCGTCGCCATCGTTGCCTCCACCGTCGCCATCGTTGCCGCCTCCCTGGGTCCCGGCCTCCTGCGTTGACCGGTTTTGGCTCGCGCTCCTTTTCTCCTCCTTCATTTGCCGTGCCGATTCGGTTTCTGTCTTCCCCGTTTGTTCCGCATCTGCCTTCCTTTCCTCCTCCCCTTCTCTTTTCCGTGGTTTTACGCTTCGGTGGGGTGGGACGTCCTCCTCCTGCAGCCTCACCCTGTGCCAGATCTAACCCCTCCGTGCTTCCTTGCCGTAGTTCTTCCAAGCCCTCTTCGTCTGTTCTTCTCGCCTAGGGTTCCCGTGCGCCGGAGTGGGTGGCCGTGCTGTTCTGCCCGCCTCCACAATGGACGTATTGCCCGATTCGGCCGCGCGTGCTGCGTCGCCGTGTTTGTTGCCGCCGTTGTACGCGTATTTCTTGCAACTGCGGTTTGCGCGCTACAGCCGCCCCACCGCCCCTGTTCGCCCTGCCTGCGCCGTGGCCTTGCTTGCGCCTGCTTCATTTACCCTGCTTCCACGCGCGTTTATTTCCTTCTTCTCCTTTGCTGTTTTGGGAGGGTTGGGGACCTGTACTTCATACCGGTGTGTTCTCCACACCGTGTCTCGACTTCTCTGTGCTCCGCTACGTGCTTCTCATCGCTGTTGTGCTCCAATCTTTACCTACTTTTCCCATTCCTTTTGTTTTCCAAACTGATTTCGCTTCTCATGTATGTGCTAATACTTTAATTTGTTTCCAGGTTTCGGCCCTGCCGTTGCGTCGCTGCTCCGGATCGATTATGTAGGTGCCTCTTGCAGATGCGCTGTGCACGGGACTTACCTTACTCTTACTCTCGGTAATTTTGTTGGCTTCGTTGCCGCCCTCAGATCCACTGTTTGCCAAGTCCTTGTCTGCTGCTTACGAAAAATGTCGGGCTAGCCTCGGCGTACGTCGTCGCACTGTGCGGCGGTCGTGGGGATGTGTACATTTTACTTACATGCTTTCCTGATTCGCTTCCTGCTGTCACCTGCTTCCCAATCTATTTTCAATGAGCTTAGGGTATGTGTACTTACGTGTCAATGCTTCTTACGGAAAATTATCGGGCCCCATGCTCTTCAGCCCGATGTACCACATAAGTAGGGATGCTTACATTTACCTTACATGCTTTCCTGATTCTCGTCGGTCTGTTACCTGTTTGCCCAATTTTTTTCTATGAGGTTACGGTATATGTCACCTGGTTGTGTCCATTGCTTCTCTTCTATGTTGTGCGCAAGGGTCTCCACATACATGTCTGCTGTTCGTGTATGCGGTACACTTGGATTTTCAGATCTCTTGATATTGGTTCATGTGTTGCAGGTACATTGTGCGCCTTCT